CAGCATAGAGGCCTGTGGGGGCTGCAGTTGTCAATAGTGCAGCCATGTTTAAATGGCATATATCCCCACATTGTCTCACTTTTTATTTGGGTTATTTGCTTCCTCTCTTGTTTTTCTTTTGTCAGTTTGGCCAGTGGTTTCTGAATTTTGTTAGTCTTTTCAAAGAACCAACTTTTGGTCTTGTTGATTCTTTGTATTGTTTTTCTGTTTTCTTTTCCATTTATTTTTGCTCTAATCTTTATTATTTTCTTTCTTCTGGTGCCTGTGGGCTTCTTTTGCTGTTCTCTTTCTATTTGTTCGAGTTGTGGGCTAGTTAACATTTTCATTTTGGCCCATTCTTCTTTTTTAATGTGTGCATTTACTGTTTAAATTGACATCTGAGCACTGCCTTTGCTGTGTACCAAAGGTTTTGGTAAGATGTGTTTTCATTCTCCTTTGCTAGGAATGTTTTGAATCCCTCTTTGATTTCTTCTATTACTGTTGTTTCTAAGCAAGTGTTATTAGGTTTCCATGTATTTGATTTTTTTTCTTTGCTCTTCCTGTTATTTATTTCTACTTTTATGATGTTGTGATCAGAGAGAATGCTTTGTATTATTTCGATGTTTTGAATTTTATTGAGGGTTGCTTTGTGGCCTAAAATGTGGTATATTCTGGAGAATGTTCCATGTGCATTGGAAAGGAATTCATACTTGCTGCTGTTGGGAAGAGTTCTCTATATATGTCTGTGAGATCAAGTTGGTTGATTTTGGCCTTTAGATCTTCTGTATCTTTGTTGAATTTCTTTCTAGATGTCTGTCCTTTACTGAGAGTGGTGTGTTGAAGTCTCCCACTATTATTGTGGAACTGTCTATTTATCTTATCAGTGCTGATAGAGTTTGTTTTATGTAATTTAGAGCCCTGTCGTTGGGTGAGTAGATATTTATTAAGGTTATGTCTTCTTGGTGGAGTGTCCCTTTAATCATTATATAATGTCCTTCCTTGTCTTTTATGGTAGATTTTGCTTTAAAATCTATTTTATCTGTGAATAGTATTGCCACTCTTGTCCTTTTTTGATTAGTTTTTGCTTGATATATATTTTCCATTCTTTAATTTTTAATATATTTATGTTTTTGTGTATAAGGTGTGTCTCTTGTAGACAGTATATTGATGGGTCATGTGTTTTTTTTAATCCATTATACAACTCTATGTCTCTTACAGGTGCATTTAAGCCATTTACATTCAGTGTGATTATAGTATGAGTTTATTGCTGTCATATTGTTGTGCTTTTTTGTGTGGTTCTGATGTTTTCTTTGTTCCTCTTACTTTCCTGTGCTGAGTTCCTTTTGTTTGTGGATTTTCTTTTCATTTCTTTCATTATTATAGATTTTGTGTTTACTGAGTCTTTATGTTTTTCTTCTTTTTTTATTGTGATGAGTAGGTTTGTTAATGTTCTTGGTGGTTACCTTGAAATTTACCATTATCTTCCTAAGTTTGAACCAGTCTTTTATTACTTAAAATCACTTCCATTTAAAAGTTCTATATCTACACCATTTATTTCCTCTTTTATTGTTTTGACATTGTTGTCATTTACAGATTGACGTCTCTGTTTCCCTGTTTTAAGTCTTAGTTTTTTGTTTTTTATTACTGAGAGTTCTTTACCCAGGTTGGTATCTGGCTGATGCTGTCCCATGTCCTAGACTCAGCTGTTGTATGATGTTGTCAGTTCTGTAACCAAAGAACTCCCTTTAATATTTCTTGTAAGTTTGTTTTTGTAAATACATTCCCTTAATTTCTGTTTATCTGGAAATGTCCTAATTTAGCCTTTGTATTTGAGAGAGAGTTTTGCAGGATATATTATTCTTGATTGGCAGTTTTTTATTTCAAGATTTTATATATGTTGTCCCATTACCTCTTACCTACATAGTTTCTGTGGAGTAATTAGAGTTTAATCTTATTGTTTCCTGTTTCTAAGTGACTTAATTTTTCTTGAGCTGCTCTCAGAATTCTTTCTTTGTATTTAGTTTTGGCAAGTGTGATTATGATATGTCGTGGTGACTTTCTTTTGAGGTTTATCTTTTATGGGGTTCATTGAGCTTCTTGGATGGTCATCTTTTCATCTTTCATGATCTTTGAGAAGTTTTCTGCCAGCAAATCTTCAACAATCTTCTCTGTGTTTTCAATATTATCCTCCTGTCTGGAACTCAAATCACACACAAATTTTTGCTCTTGATTGTGTCCCACGTAATTCTCAGGTTTTCTTCATTCTTTTCTCTGATTTTTCCTCAAAGTGGTATCCATGGATTTTTCTTCAATCTCACTGATTCTGTCTTGCATTGTTTCAAATTTGTTCCTAAAACTTTCTATTGAGTTGTCCATTTCTGAAAGTTTGCTGTTTATTGTTTGGATTTCTAGTTGCTGTTTTGTATGATTTCTAGCTGCTTATTTATTTTGATGTTTTGTTCTTGTATTATTTTCCTGAATTCTTCTATTGCTTTGTCTATGTTTTCCTTGATGTTGGCTATGTTTTTGTTGATTTTGTCTGTGTTTTCCATGATTTTGTCTGTTCCTTGGTTTTGTCTGTGTTTTCTTTGATGTCTTTCCTAATCTCTTGGAGAGCCCTAAATATTGGTTTTTTTTAATTCCATATCATAGTTCCAGTGCCTTTTCTTTTACTGGAAGGTCATCTGATTTTTTATTTTGGTCACTTGCTGGAGCCGTCTTGTCCTGCTTTTTTACATGTTTTGATATTGTCTGCCGTCTACAAAACATTAAGGTATTATTTTCTTTATTTATTGATTGTTCATTTGCTTCATCCTGATTCTTTGTTTTGTTTTGATTTGTCAGTGCAGGCAGGCCAGGTGTGCCTTGCCACTTGCTTGTCTGTGGGCATGATAGCTTTCATCACCTTGTGCAGATGAACAGGGCAAAAGCAGGCAGGGTGAACCCACCTCACTTTACACTTTTTTGGTGAGGTAGCCGAAGTCACACTGGGAGGGCACTGTCTGCTTTATGATGTTGGTCCAGTGGTGTGGGAGAATTCACAGCCCCTTGCCAGATAGGCAGGGGTGTTGGATGGAGAGTGATACAGGATCACTTCCTACCATTCAGCAACTTCTTGAGTGGTGAGCGGTGAGGGGCACTGGGGACAGTCTAGCCACGGTGGCATGGCAGGGGACGCCAGTAAGGGGGGTGGCAACATGCATGGTTAGGTGGGCAGGAATAAAATAAAAGAGAGAGAACTAAAGAAAAAAAAGATAGCCAGTGGGTGGGGCCTGGGCAGACCTGGGGGCCAATGGTAAAGGGGGGAGGTGGCATATGGGGCTACATGGGAGTTAAAAATAAAAGAAAGAAAAAGAAAAATAATAATATAAATGTTGGCACAGTGAGGGCCAGTGGGTGGGAGCAGAGTGGACCTGGGGCAGTGATGGGCCAGTGTGCTGGTGGCACTCTATCTGCCACAGCATGGTGGCAGCTGGCAGGAAGGTGGGGAAGTGACATAAGGGGCTAGGTGGCAGGGAGAAAGAAAAGTAAAAAAGGAAAAAAATGGCAGCACAGCGGGGTACAGTGAGTTGGGCCTGGATGGACCTGGGGTCCAGTGGAAAGGGAAGGGAGATGGCTTACGGGACTAGGTGGCAGGGGGAAAAAAAAGAAAGAAAAAACGAATGGTGCTGCAATGGGAGCTGGTGCATGGGGGAGGGGCAGACACGGGTTGGCGATGGGGTGGTGGTCCTCTAGCTTCAGTGGCACATTGGGGGCTAGTCGGAAAGGAGGTGGCATACAGGGCTAGGTGGGAAGGAGCAAGAAAAGCAAAAGGGAGGAAAAAGTGGCAACATCATAGGGGTTAGCCAGTGGCAGTGGGGTGGACCCAGGGGCTGGTGGGAAGGTGGGGGAGGTGACATACCGGGCTACTTGGGAGGCAAAAAGAAAAGAAATAAAAAATATAAAGAAAAAACAAAAGAAAAAAATGGTGGCATGATGGGGGCTGCAGGTGAGGCTGGGACAGACCCAGGTAGCAGTGGGCCAGTGTGCCAATGGCTCTTTAGTGGTGGTGTGCTACAGAGTCTGGCAGGAAGGGGAGGAGGTGGTGTACAAGGCTAGGTGGGAAGGAGAAAGAAAATGAAGAAAGAGAAAAAAGAAAAAAACTGTCTGTGTGGTGTGGGCCAGCAAATGGGGGAAGGGTGGACCCAAGTGCCAGGAAGGGAAAGGAAGTGACTTATGGGGCTAGGTGGGACAGAGAAAGAAAAGGAAGAAGAGAAAGTAAAAAAAGAAAAAAAAATGGTGGCATAGCAGGTAGGTAGGGGCGGGGCGAACCTGGGGTACTGGTGGGCCAGTGGCTCTCTAGCCTCAGGAGCATGGCATGGTCTGGAGGGAAGGGGGGAGGTGGCATATGGGGCTAGGTGGGAGTAAGAAAGAAAAGGAGGAAAGTGAAAAAAGAGAAAAAATTAAAAAATGGCATGGCAGGAGATGGCAGGTGGAGTGGGATGGCCCCAGGTGGCAGTGGGCCAGTGGCTCTCTAGCTGAGGGGCTTAGTGTGGCCCATTGGGAAGGGGTGGAGATGGCATAGGCGGCTAGATGGGAGGGAGAAAGAAAAGGAAGAAAGGGGAAAAAATGGCCTGGTGGGAGCTGGTCGGTGGATGTGGGGAGGACCTGGGCTGCAGCGAGCTGGTGGCTCTCTAGCCAAGCGGCACAGCATGGCCCGTCAGGAAAGGATTGATGTGGCTTATGGGGCAGAAGGGTGAGTGGTAGAAAAGCATATTTCTCTGGTTACTGAGAACTCTGTCTCCTGTTGGGAGCTCCCTGAAGTTGCCTTCCTATACTCCCTGTCCAGGGTCCTTGCTGGCTGTGCTCCAAGTTGGCCATGCTGTGCCATGTTAGTTGGCAGGGCACCGCCACTCAGCATCTCTCCTCGTTCTCTGTTTTCGTCAGTTTCTTCTTCCATTCACTGTTTGATCTAGCTCTTTATCCCTTCAATTGATGCTTAGGGTTCCAGCATTGATATTTGTATCTATTTTACTTAGTATTTCAGGTCTTTGCTGCAGAGGTATGGCATGATATGCCTGTCTACAGCACCATGTTGGCTCCACCAACCCTTGATTCTGGTTTTGGATTCACAGGTATATACATATGGTCAAAACTCAACAAAGTCTACACTTTATACAGTTCGCTGTCTGTCAATTATACATCAATAAAGTTCAATAATAATAACAAAGCTCAATCATTATTGATTGAATGAAAACTTAACTCATACCCTAGGACAGTTGTTCCCCAGAAACTCTACCTCAAATGTACATATTCTGTTCCACATTTCACAACCTAGAAACCAGATCCTTGAATGTTCACTCTCTTGAGGTTCTAGGAGGAGTTTTAAGAAACTCGGCTGCTTCCGCCACCCTTATCTTTTGTATTGAAGACCCAACAGTCACTCCAAATCTTGATATAAATTTATGTACAAGTAAAGGCTTTTTAGACAAGCAGGTCTGATATGGCCAAGACTAGGCAATAATAAACACCCTTGATTTTTGGTAGACAAAAAAGGGACTGAAACTGTTGGCTTCAGGCAGGAACCAATGCTCCAGCTCACAAAGGCTAGAGACACTATGGGACTTGGATGAAAGTTCCTGTGGTGAGGAAGACCTATGTTGGACATTATAAGTGTTGTTAGGTGCCGTCGAGTCCGTTCCTACTGATATAGACCCTGTGTACAACAGAATGAAACACTGCCCAGTCCTGGGCAATCCTTACAATTGTTGTTATGCTTGAGCCCATTGTTGCAGCCACTGTGTCAATCCATCTTGTTGAGGATCTTCCTCTTTTTCACTGGCCCTCTACTTTACCAAGCATGATGTCCTTCTCCAGGTACTGATCCCTCCTGATAACACGTCCGCAGTATGTGAGACATAGTCTCGGCACCCTTGCTTCCAAGGAGCATTCTGGTTGTACTTCTTCCAAGACAGATTTGTTCGCTCTTTTGGCAGTCTGTGGTATATTCAATATTCTTCGCCAACACCACAATTCAAAGGCTTCAATTCTTCGATCTTCCTTATTCATTGTCCAGCTTTTGCATGCATATGAGGCGATTGAAAAATACCATGGCTTGGGTCAGGCACACCTTAGTCTTCAAGGTGACATCTTTGCTTTTCAACACTTGGAAGAGGTCTTTTGCAGCAGATTTGCCCAATAAAATGCGTCTTTTGATTTTTTGACTGCTGCTTTCATGGGTGTTGACTGTGGATCCAAGTAAAATGAAATCCTTGACAACTTCAATCTTTCCTCCATTTATTTATCATGATGTTGCTTATTACTCCAGTTGTGAGGATTTTTGTTTTCTTTATGTTGACGTGTAAACCATACTGAAGGCTGTAGTCTTTGATCTTCGTCAGTAAGTGCTTCAAGTCCTCTTCACTTTCAGCAAGAAAGGTTGTGTCATCTGCATAACGCAGATTGTTGATGAGTCTTCCTCCAATCCTGATGCTGTAGTCTTCTTCATATAGTCCAGCTTCCTGGATTATTTGCTTAGCATACACATTGAATAGGTATGGTGAAAAGATACAACCCTGATGCACACCTTTCCTGACTTTAAACCACACAGTACCACCTTGTTCTGTTCAAACGACTGCCTCTTGATCTATGTACAGATTCCTCATTAGCACAATTAAGTCTTATGGAATTCTCATTCTTCTCAATATTATCCATAATTTGTTATGATCCACACAGTCGAATGTCTTTGCATAGTCAATAAAACACAGGTAAACATCTTTTTGGTATTTTCTGCTTTCAGCCAGGATTCATCTGACATCAGCAACGATATCCCTGGTTCCACGTCCTCTTCTGAATCGAGCTTGAATTTCTGGCAGTTCCCTGTCAATATACTGCTACAGTCGCTTTTGAATGATCTTCAGCACAATTTTACTTGTGTGTAATATTAATGATATTGTTCGATAATTTCCTCATTCAATTGGATCACCTTTCTTGGGAATAGGCATAAATACGGATCTCTTCCAGTCAGCTGGCCAGGTAGCTGTCTTCCAAATTTCTTGGCATAGAGAAGTGAGCACTTCCAGTGCTACATTAGTTTGTTGAAACATCTCAATTGGTATTCCGTCAAATTCTGGAGCCTTGTTTTTCACCAATGCCTTCACTGCAGCTTGGACTTCTTCCTTCAGTACCTTCAGTTCCTGATCATATGCTACCTCCTGAAATGGTTGAATGTCGACAAATTCTTTTTGGTATAGTGACACTATTCCTTCCATCTTCTTTTGATGCTTCCTGCATGGTTTAATATTTTCCCTGTAGAATCTTTCAATATTGCAACTCAAGGCTGGAATTTTTTCTTCAGTTTTTTCAGCTTCAGAAATGCTGAGTGTGTTCTTCCCTTTTGGTTTTCTATCTCCAGGTCTTTGCACACTTCATTATAATACTTTACTTTGTCTCCTCGAGTCACCCATTGAAATATTCTGTTCAGCTCTTTTACTTCATTATTTCTTCCTTTTGTTTTAGCTACTCGATGTTCAAGAGAAAGTTTCAGAGTCTCTTCTGACATCCATTTTGGTCTTTTCTTTATTTCCTGTCTTTTTAATGACCTCTTGCTTTCTTCATGTATGATGTCCTTAATGTCATTCCACAACTCGTCTGGTCTTCAGTCATTAGTGTTCAACATAACAAAGCTATTCTTGAGATGGTCTCTAAATTCAGGTGGGATATACTCAAGATCGTACTTTGGCTCTTGTGGACTTGTTTTAATTATCTTCAGCTTCCACTTGAACTTGCATATGAGAAATTGATGGTCTTTTCTGCATTCAGCCCCTGGCCTTGTTCTAACTGATGATATTGAGCTTTTCCGTCGTCTCTTTCCACAGATGAAGTCGATTTGATTCTTGTGTATTCCATCTGGCGAGGTCCAAGTGTATAGTCACCATTTATGTTGGTGAAAAAAGGTATTTGCAATGAAGAAGTCGTTGATCTTGAAAAATTCTATTGTGCAATCTCCGGCATCGTTTCTATCACCAAGGCCATCTTTTCCAACTACCAATCCGTCTTCTTTGTTTCCAACTTTCGCATTCCAATCACCAGTAATTATCAATGCATCCTGATTGCATGTTCAATCAATTTCAGACTGCAGAAGTTGATAAAAACTCCAATTTCTTCATCTTTGGCCTTAGTGGTTGGTGAGTAAATTTGAATAATAGTTGTATTAACTGGTCTTCCTTGTAGGCATATGGATATTATCCTATCACTGACAACGTTGTACTTTAGAATGGTTCTTGAAATGTTCTTTTTGACAATGAATGCAATGCCATTCCTCTACAAGTTGTCATTCCTGGCATAGTAGAATGATGATCTGATTCAAAATGGCCAATGCCAATCCATTTCAGCTCACAAATGCCTAGGATATCGATCTTAATGAGTTCCATTTTGTTTTTGATTATTTCCAATTTTCCTAGATTCATAATTCGTACAGTCCATGTTCCGATTATCAATGGATATTTGCAGCTGTTTCTTCTCATTTTGAGTGGTGCCACATCAGCAAATGAAGGTCTCGAAAGCTTGACTCCATCTACTTTATTAAGATAGACTCTACTTTGAGGAGACAACCCTTCCCCAGTCATATTTTGAGTACCTTTCAACCTGAGGGGCTCATCATTTGGCACTATATCAGACAAAGTTCCGCTGCTACTCATAAGGTTTTCACTGGCTAATTCTTTTCAGAAGTAGGCTGCCAAGTCCTTCTTCTTTGTCTGTCTTTAGTTTGGAAGCTCAGCTGAAACCTGTCTGCCATGGGTGACCCTGCTGGTATTTGAATACCTGTGGCATAGCTTCCAGCATCACAGCAACACACAAGCCCCCAAAGTACAACAAACTGGCAGATGCATGGGGGGAAGTTATGAGTAGGAAGTGATAAGAATTCATGTGACACTGAAAGAATGAAATTTATTACATACAACACTTCTATATTCTAAAGAGGAGGGAGATAAATAAGGATCCTTCATGTGCTGAGCTGGGTGATGAGTGTGAGTATTCAGTCATAAGAAACTGATAGAGTTACATGGATCCACATAGAAAAGAAATTTGGAGCGAAGAAGACTGTCAGGAAGGGCAAGAGTTGATGTCTTTCCATTTTGTGAGGCTGCAGGGAAGGGACGCAAGATTGTCTAAGGAAGAGAGTTTGATGAGGACTCACTGTGCAGTATGCTGGAGAACCTCCTCCTTTGTTCTCATGAAGTCATCAAGAAAATGTACATTGACTATTTTTGTAATTAGATTTATCTTCGGTTAGGGGATAGGGTATGGAGTTCAGGGTCTGCACTCAAAGTTTAGGCAAGAGCAAACGTGGCCCTAAATGTCTCAATCATATTTTGCTGACAGTAAGTTAGCTGTAGTTATCGAAAATTATTTCAGTATAAGTTGAGCGGACCAGATCAATCTGTTGTTGTTAGCTGCCATTGAGTCAGCTCTGACTCATGGCAACCTTATGTATAACAGAATGAAATGTTGCCCTGTCCTGTTCCAACTCCATGATCTTTGATATGTATGAGCCAATTGTTGAGGCTATTGTGTCAATCCATCTCATTTAGTGTTTCCTTCGTTCTCGCCGAACCTCCACTTTACCAAACATGATGTCCTTCTCTAGCCATTGGTCTTTCCTGATGACGGTATCCAAAGTAGCAAGACGAAGTCTGGCCATCCTCACATTTAAGCAGCATTCCAGTTGTATTTCTTATAAGACTGTTTTGTTTG